GGGGGGTCAGCACTCTGCTCCAGTGGGCCCTTTTGGTGGCCTCCCTCAGCATGAGGGAGGGGGCTCTGATGAAGGAAAAGAGGTTGGGCTGATGCCTCTTGGCTCAGGGGTCTGGGGGGAGGGTCTTGGAGGGGGACCCACCTGAGAGAGAGGGCCCTTACTCTGCCCTGGGGTCTCCCTTTGGGTTCCTGAGGCATCCTTTTCCTCCCTCATGATGGTTTCTCTTGCTTTCCCTGAAGCTCCGAGTGCCACTCTAGAAAATATGTCGCCCTCCGATGTTCAAGTAAGAAGACCATCTGGGGCAGGGGAAGGCAAGGGGGCTTGACCTGGTCTGGGGCAGGGAGCTCCTCCAGAGGGCCAGCCTGCTGGGGCGAGTGGGAGAACTGGCCCAGGCCTAGCCTGGCATGCAGGGTGGGGGGCCAAGAGGGCAAGGGGTCTGTGGGCCTGGTGGGCGACTCTTTCTCAGCCTCTTCTCCCTGCAGGTTGTGGGCAGCGGATATCGGGGCGCATCGTTGACGGTGCGGAGGCACCAGCCAGCAAGTGGCCGTGGCAAGTGAGCCTCCAGTATGGCTCCAGCCACATCTGTGGAGGCACCATCATCGACCCCCAGTGGGTGCTCACTGCCGCCCACTGCTTCTTCATGTAAGGCAGTGGGGTGGGGGGTGCTGGGGGTGTCTCTATCAGGTTGAGGCCAGGAAGGGAATGTGGGGGGCAATGCGCCTTCAGGGGTCCTACTGAGAATGCAGGCTGACTATGGGGAAGGACTCAGGAGGGCAGGGTGGTGGGGTGGGGAAGGATAGGAGCCATGGAGGCTGAGGCAGGGGCTCCCATGTGAGCCATACCTGTGAGTCACAAGATGCCTCTAGAACCGCCGCCCCCACAACTATGGCCCCTCTGTTTTGCTAACTGCCTGGCCAAGGTCTTCTCCTTTTCCCTTGCCCCAAGCAGCCACCTCCCACCCCACGTGTTCCCTCCCCCTGACCTGGACCTGCATTGCTCACCCCCTTTCTTGGGAATGGTCAAGAGCAATCTCCCCCTCTGGCCTCCTCTGAGGAGCAGAAGGAGCGTTTCCCATCTGCCTCTGGTCTCCTCAGGAACAGTGTGAAGATCCTGGATGAGTGGAAGGTGTATGCGGGGGCCTCTGACCTCAAGCAGCCAGCGGTGGCGGAGGGGGTCCCCGTCTCTGAAGTCATCATCAACGCTAACTATAGTGATGACCACGACGACTATGACATCGCACTGATGAAACTCTCCCGGCCCCTGGCCCTCTCTGGTGAGGCTCCTGGACCCGTCGGCAAGGAGGTCCTCTGGGGAAGCTGGCTCCAGGAGACCTTGCTCACTGCCCCTGCTGCCCCCTTCTCTGTTCCAGCTCAGGTCCGCCCCGCCTGCCTCCCGATGTCCGGCCAGAACTTCCTTCCGGGAAGGAAGTGTTTCATCACCGGCTTTGGCAAGGTCAACGAAAATGAAGGTGAGAATGCAGGAACCAGTGGTGTCACTAGGGCGTGGGGAGAGTGCGGACAGCACTGGGTGACACTTCAGAGAAGGGGTGACACCCACTCGGGTCCTCCTCCTCCTGCTGCGGTGTGTGTGTGTGTGTGTGTGTGTG